TGCCTTGTTACAAAGAAGGAAACAAGGAGAAAAGACCCAACAGGTAAGCAAAACCAAGTGACTCACCCCAAATATGTCTAATAGGGTATGTAATGACCTTTAGTCCCACTGTCTTTCCCAAGAAAAGTGTGGATGCAATAGAAAGTCTTTTTTTTTTCTATAAAAGTACTTCTTGCCCTACTTTCACCAACTCAAGCTATAATGTCTGTCTGTGTAGATTTTTACACAGACATCCTCAAGGGATGGCTCAAATTGGGGAATCACTCAGAGCTCTGGGCTTTGGAGTTCTATATTACTGTAAATGGAATGACTGGTGACACCGTCAGGGATAAAGAAGGTGCTAAAAAAGAACCTGAAAGGGGCACCTAGGTGGCACAGTGAATAGAGCACTGGCCCTGAAGTCAGGAGGACCTGAGTTCAAATCTGACCTCAGACCAAACACTTGACACTTACTAGCTGTGTGACCCTGGGCAAGTCAGTTAACCCCAATTGCCAATTTGAAAAAAAAAAAAAGAACCTGAGGCTGATACATGGGTATGACTAGGAAGTTGGTTATTTGGTGCAATTCATGGAAACCATCATCATTATTTTATTACTTCATTTTGAACATAGTTAATATACTAGGAGCTGACGGGCTGGCTCCCTTTTTCCAGACACACCCTTCTGGGTGCAAGTGTATTTTTTGTGTCAATTCAAGGTTTATTTCATATTGTTTACTTTCACCTATTCTATATTCCTGTCAAATTGCCCTTCTTAATGTTCTTTGAACTTAGTATTCTTTCTCTGTGTTTTTGCAAAAGAAGGAAGGAAGAAAAGAAGGAAGGAAAGAAGAAAGAAGGAAGGAAAAAAGGAGAGAAGGAAGGAAAAAGGAAAGAAGGAAAGAGAGAAAGAAGGAAGGAAGAAAATAAGCATTTATTAAAGAGCCTACCACGTGTCGGGCACTGTGTGTTAAGTGCTTTAAGAGCCTCACAATAACCCTGGGAAGTAGGTGCTATTATTATCCCCATTTTACAGTTGAGGAAATTGAGACAGATAGAGGTTTAGTGACTTGCTCAGGATCATACAGCTAGTAAGTGTGTGAGTGAAGATTTGAATTCAGATTTTCCTGAATCTAGGTCCAGGGCTGTATCCACTGCATCACCTTGCTGTGCCACAAGCTGTGCACTGTGCCATCAATCCACTCTTCTTATCTCTGCCCATTAAAATCCCCAAGCTTCCTCTAAGGCTCAGACTATATGCTATCTCTTACCTCTCCCTTGTTAGTGCTCTCTCTTCAAACTGTCAGAGATTTCCTTGGACACAAATCAACCTTGTTACCCTTAGAAGGTAAGCTCCTTGAGGACAGGGACTGTTTGATTTTTCTGTAGCATTTTATGCCTGGCACTGTGCCAGAAACATAATAAATCCTATTGCATTAAAATTAATGTCCTCCTATTTATTTTCTCCTTTTAAAAGTCTATTGATATTCTTGATCATTTCTCTTTGATTGTTTCCTACACTAACATTCTATTAAGGGAAAGCAAAATTAGCGATTAGCTCACATTTTATAGCTCTATAAGGTTCACAAAGCTTTGTCTCATTTTACCCTTAAGAAGTAGGTGGGGAAATTATTAATATCTCTGTTTAATAAGCGAGGGAACTGAGTCCCAGGGAAGTGACTTATGTAGGTGTTAGAGTCAAGATTTGAATCCATGTATAACTATTCTAATCTCATATCCCAGGCTCGTTTCACCATACCATACTACCTCCCAATGATCTTTGAAGATTTCACCTGAATAAAAATTCAGGGAGGGATGAGGAGGAGGGTACTCAGGATGAGCCATCCTGGACTTTAGTTAATTAACTGAAACAATTAGTGTTGGGAATTAAAAATCCAGCCCAGGAGCAGAGGGGTAGGGATGAGGACTAGAACAGGAATGGGTAGGAATCACCTTGGGTTTTTGAGAGAGCCTCACTTATCAGGGACCTGAGAAGGCACCATGTGCATATGTAGCTTATCCACATTCTTGACCACTAAAGTGCCCACTTTCAGGAACCATTTTGCTGCTACACCAAAAAGACACCCAGACAAGGAGTATCCATTGGGACTTCCTGAACTGTGGTCATGAGCCCCAGGTTCATCCTCTTCCTTTTCAGGGTCTTCTTGGGTAGTAATTAAGCCTCTTTGTCCACTCACTTTATGCAAGGATCCCAATGGATTCCAGCTAAGATCCCAGTGCACTCCACAAACTGGCTGTGGCACTTCCAGATTTTAGACTGTTTATATACATGGCAATAGAACATTGAGGCAAGCAACTTCAAAGTCAAATTCTATATGGGAAATATGGTTTACACTTTAATTAGGAAAGTCTCCAGAGTATTGGCTAGCTGTCACATAAATGTGGCTTCAGCGATACTTGACTTCAGAGAAGAAGAAGAAAGATGAACCACTACTTTCCCTGATGCTTTGTCAGCTTCCCCCATTCCCTGGCCCAGAGTGATTATAGTGGGCTGTGGATTATATATCTTTGGCCAAACCATCCTCTACTTTGAAGTGCGTTTTGCCCAAAAGCCAGTTCCTCATGGTCTGGTCCAGTGAAAGGGGGACCCTAAATTGAATTAGTGAGGTCATTGGAGCTGGAGATGACAGCTTTCTCCCTGTCTACCACAACCAGTGTTATATCATCAGATTTAGATGTATTCTTTTGAGGTTGGTGTCAGATAGAAATCCTCCCTGCATTTTACAGATAGGGAAACTGAGGCAAGGAGAAATTCTAAATAATTTATTAAATATACCACAGAAGCCATTGGTCTCCTTATTCTCATTTTTTGTTTGTTTGTTTTTGGCTAAGCAACAGAGTTAAGTAACTTGCCCAGGGTCACACAGCAAGTAAGTATACACCTAGCTGCCCCTGGTCTCCTTATTCTCACTAAGAGTATGCAAACTGTCTTGTGAGCAAGTTTGTCATTTATAAAATAGTTTCCAAAGGTCAAATTCAAAGAAAATACTATATGGTATTCTTACATTTAAGTAAGAATGAAAGAAGTTGTATAGAAGAAAGACTGAGCAGGAAGCCAAAAGCCTTGGATCCTAATTCTGGCTCCAACATTAAATATGCACTCCTGGGCAAGTTACTTAATTATTAGCACCTTAGTTTCCTTATCTCCAAAGTGGAGGAAATACTACAAGGATTACTCACCTTCTAGTGTTAGCTCAAAGAGGATGATGTATGAAGTGCAAAGCATCACTGATATTATCTAAAGGTAAAAAATGTAAAGTATGATTACCCAAAGCGAAGGTTTTTAAGTCTTTTTTGTGTCATAGACTCCTTTGGCAGCATGCTGAATCCCTTTTCAGAAAAAAAAATGCTTTTTAAATGCAACAAATAAAATATCTAGAATTAGGAAATAAACAATTTATACTGAAATTGTTATTAAAATATTTTAAAAAAACCCAAGTTTATGGATCCCATATTAAGAGCCTTAACCTAAAGGTACAGTTATATTTTCCATATCTGGGGGGTTAGGGATGGGGCACCCCCATGATCTGGAAATCCATGTAAATTTTTTTGGCCCTCTCTTCATACCAGAGAAGAAGTCTGATTTTTTTTCTTTTTCTTTTATAGGATGTTTATAGTACCTTATTGTAAAATTTGGATTAAGTATTTGGTCATAGGCTATATTATATAATACAAAACATATATTTTATGCATTTCTGAATCTCTAAACTTTTTCTGTATTGTCACTGGCCTTCAAGTGTCATCTGTGGCTTCCACAAAACTCCTCAAAAATTCCCATTTAATTTTTTATGCCAACCCCCCCCCCATATATTGAAACTATGATGGGAAAAATCAAGATGTGGAAGGGATAACTGTAAAAGCATGGCATAATTTTTTAATTTAAGAGGTTACATGAAATAGTCATAGTATCAAATACATAATCTTATTTATTGTGCCCATCTCCTCTACCATGGAACTTTCTCTTCAATATGTTTCTGGGTGGTCAGAGCAAGGCAGGACCAGAAATGTGCCTCACCCAGCTACAGGATCACGTGCACTCCTGCTATAGCATGGATCCATGCTCATGTGTAGACTCAGGCAGGTAACACTGGTAAAGGGCATGGCCATCAAACCAAGCGTGTGAAAGTCAATGCCAAGGGCTGCCAGGAAAGATTGCACAGCTTCCAAGAAAAATTCAGGTCCTTCTCAGCTCAGAACAAAGCAATTTGAGCAGAGAGTCCAGGAGGAGAGAAGAAGGAGGAGTTTTGTCTGCGGTGTGTCCTGGAGATCACCTTGCCTGAACTTTGCCAAGGGCAGAAAGGAGAGGCAGATATACTGAGGTCTCTTGGGCCTGAAGCTGGGCTGGGCTGGGTTTGGCACTTGTTGCAATCATTGGCCTCAAATGGCAAGTCTGTGACTGAATGAGAAATATTTGGTCTGGGAATGGATGACATTGTTCTGTTCCCATTAAAAATCATGTCAGTATCAGTGTTCAGTAATACAGTTTTATGGCCATGCTGACTCATACAGACCTTTTAAGGAAAAAAAAAGACTACAAAAATGGAGAAGCCTTTTAAAATGGACTTTTATGCAGATTTTTGGCCTTTTGACTCTGAAGGTATAATCAGTGGGGGTCCAAAAAATACATACTGGTATATCTAGGAAGGGAAATAGAAAGTCTTTTTCTTTATTTTCTTTTTCTCTCTTTTTTTTTTTTTTTGAGGCAATCTGGATTAAGTGACTTACCCAGAGTCACACAGTTACTAAGTGTTTGAGCCTGGATTTGAACTCAGTTTCTCCTGACTCCTGGGCCAGTACTCTATCCACTGCATCCCTTAGCTGTTCTTAGAAAGTTTTGCTTTTTAATCGTGGGATTTAATTTCTATTTTTGATATTTGATGGCCCCTGGGAGCTAACATCCTGACAGTATCATTTTAATTTATTTATTGGTAAATGTCTCACATTTTAGTGGAACTATGAGTTCTAAGAATTGAATTCCTGTGCCCTATTTTTTTTTTATAGGAACAGAACTTCCCATCTACTTAAGAGAAAAGAGGATGTCTCTACTAATTTACATGCAAATTGAAAACTATGAGGAAGGAGGAAGCTTGGCATGGACAGAAATAGCTCTGGAGTTAGACTGTGCTCTGCCACTTACTGCTTTTGTGACCTTGGGTAAGTCAATTCACCTTTTTTGTCCTCAGTTTCCTCATCTGTAAAAGAAGGAGGTTTATATTGGTGGTTTCTGAAGTTCCTACCAGCACTGCATCTAAGAGCAGTGTTATCTAGGATTCTGCTATACCAGCTTTCACATGGTTAATTCAATGCAATTTAGCAATCATTGATTAAATGCCTACTATGCGCTGTACTTGGTGCCAAAGGTGAAATAAAACACCACCTCTGCCTTCAAGAGACTTTAAGCTAATAAAGGGGAATGAGATATGCACATACATGTGATACAAATGAGAATAAGATAAGTGCAAAGGAGAAGTCTAAGGTGGCAGGAGAATTCACAAATGGAAAAGGCTCTTTCTTCATTGTGTGAGGATAGGAGATCTGGGCAAGATGCAGATGATGGCAGGCTGGCAGGAAGGGAGAGATTTCAATGTTGTGGTTGTTGTTGTTCAGTCATGTCCAACTCTTGGTGACCCCATTTGGGGTTTTCCTGGCAAAGACGCTGCAGTGGTTTGCCATTTCCTATTTCAGCTCCTTTTACAGATGAAGAACTGAGGGAAACAAGGTTAAGTGACTTGCCCAGGGTCACACAGCTAGGAAGTGTCTGAGGCCAGATTTGAACTCAGAGAGATGAGTCTTCCTGACTTCAGACCCAGCAACTTTATCCACTTCCTCACTTAGCTACCCAATAGACAGAGATAAAAAAGTCAGGGGGACAGCATGATCAAAATCATGGAGATGAAGAGGATAGGAAGGGACTGGATAGGAAAGGTGAGTTCTCCAATTTGGCTAGAGTATAGGGTGCCTGCAGGTGACATTAGAATGGGACATAATGTATCCAGGTTGTTGAGAACTAAGAATTCCCAGCTGTGAAGCAATGGGGACCCATTAGAAATTTTTGAGCAAGGGCTGGGTTTAACTAGGGAAGTGCATTGGGAAGTTATGTGGGCATCATATTTTGCAAAAGATAGTGAGAAGACATGTGAGGTCATAGGCTCATAAATCTCAATCTAGAAGGGGCGTTTGAGTTCATCTAGTTCTTTCTGCAAGAGAGTCTGCTTTTAAATCATCCCAGAGATCTGGGCAAGTATCCTACTTTTACAAATAACCATGGAAAATGATCTTTCTATATGGTTCCATGAACAACATAACTTTCTACCAAGTTTTTGGGGAAATGAAGCCATGACACCTGCAAGAAGAGATTTAGGGCTGGAAGGGATCTTAAAGGCATTAGTCTAATCCACTTACTTTACTGATGAGGGACTAAGGTTCAGAGAAGTTAAGGGACCTGTCTAAGCTGTCACAGTCAGTAAGTGGCTGATCTGGGATTTCAGCCCGTGTCCTTTTGACTTGAAAGGCCTCATCCTCTCCAATGTATCCAGCATGAGTTGTAGAAATGCTCACATCATTTCTGAAATTTTATGATGTTTTGCCTTGACATTGATAGGTAGGGCACTGATGTCTGGATTTTGTTTCTTTTTCTTCAGCAACAAAACAACTAGATTGGAATATCTCTCCCCTTTCCCACTTAGGGCATCTAGGTGGTACAATAGAAGTCAGGAAGACTCATCCTCCTAAGTTCAAATCTGGCCTCAGACACTTACCAGCTGTATGACCCTGGGCAAGTCACTTAACCCTAGTTGCCTCAGTTCCTCATCTATAAAATAAAGCTGGAAAAGGAAATGGCAAACCATTTCAGTATCTCTGCCAAGAAAACTCCAAATGAGGTCTCAAAGAGTTGGATACCACTGAACAACAACAACCCCTCTCTCACCTAGAATTGGTGATGAAGAGCTATGTAGCTGAGTATAAAATCAAAAATTGAGAATTCAGAAGCGCAATTATTTTGTTTCAATGTCTACAGGCACTGGTATTTGTAGGCTACTGCCTTTTTTTTTTCCTTTTTGGTGAGGCAATTGGGTTTAAGCGACTCGCCCAGAATCTCACAGCTAGCAAATGTCAAGTGTCCGAGTAGGTTACTGCCTTTTGAAGCTTTTTTCAAAATGCCTAAGTATCTTTTGCTCCTAGCAGGATCACAAACTTGGAATAGGAAGAGGTAGCATCTTCCACAATATCTAGAGAGCCTGGCCCTGAGCTTCTAAGTGCTTGATATGCATTTGATATGCATCCTTCCCCCTCTCAATCTCTACACTCCCAGCTAAGTAACTCTACTCCAAACAATCCCAGACCAAGAGAGATCTCTTAATTCCTTAAAGATCCACACAGAAAAAAGTTTCAGTCTTGGAGGCACAGAGCCCACTGTCCTACAAACAGAAACCTATTCTTCCCATCTGACTTGCATCTTGCTTGTTGCAATTGAAGCTCCAAATATTTGCTCTTTCATGTACTGGAAAGTGTTTGAAAACAGGTTTATGATAAGAGTATCAATATTTGTTGTTCAGTTGCATCCGAGTCTTTGTGATCCAATTTGAGGTTTTCTTGGCAAAGATACTGGAATGGTTTGCCATTTCCTTCTCCAGCTCATTTTACAGATAGGGAAACTGAGGCAACCAGGGTTAAGTGACTTGCCCAGGGTCACATGGCTAGTAAATGTCTAAGGCCAGGTTTGAATTCAGGAAGAAGATTTTCCTTGACTCTAGGCCCAACGCTCTATGTGCCATACCACCTAGCGATATACTACAAGTAGAGGTAGTTGTGTAATACAATGGATAGAGTGCCAGCGTCTGGAGTCAGGAAGACCTGAATTCAATTTTCTGGTCTGGTGATTCAAGAATAGGCAGGTTCACAGCTTGCAGGGAGGTGAACTGAACCATTTGGTCCCTGGAGGAAGCTTCCCACGCTACACCCCCACCTTCTTTTCTAGAAGAGCAAAAAGTCATGGTCTCTGACACTGACTAGCTCTGTGATGGTGATGATGATGATGATGATGGTGATAATGATGATTTAGGGATAGCTGTGTGGGGAAGTGGATAGCGTTCTGGGCCTGAAGTCTGGAAGACTCAGCTTCCTGAGTTCAAATCTGGCCTCAGACACTTACAAGCTGTGTGACCCTGGGCAAGTCACTTAACCCTGTTTGTCTCAGTTTCCTCATCTGTAAAAGTATCTGGAATAGGAAATGACGAACAACTTCAGTACCTTTGCCAAGAAAACCCCAAAAGGAGTCACAAAGAGAGGGACGCAACTGAAACAATTGAACAACAACAAGTTGGAGCAGTGGAGAAAGCATAGGGTTTTGAGTCAGGAAGATCCAAATTCAAATCCTGTCTCAGATAGTTACTAGCTGTGTGTTGCTAAGCAAATTACTTAGCCTCTCTCAGCTTCAGTTTCCTCATCTCTAAAATGGGAGGTTTGGACCCAGTGGACCTTTGGGCTCTGAATTTATAGTCCTATGAGAGTAGAGAGTGGCATGGTGCCCTGGTGTGTAGAGAGCTGGAATTGCTGAGGCTTGGGGTCAAGGTCTGCTAATGAGATGTAGGCTGAGTGACCCTGGGCCAGACTCTTGTCCTCTACCTTAAGAGTAGAAGTAAGGACCAGAACTGCAGGATTTTCATCACTAGAGGGAGTTTCTCACCTGGAGGCTCCTACTCCAACAAATTCACAGATCCGGCCACAAAAATAAGCAAACACATCACTAGGGAGGATTCCTAAATAGTACTGAGCCCCAAATGATCCGAATAGCCTCTAGCTTCTTTTAAAAATAGAACTTCGGGGGAAAGAAGGCCTCTCTCCCATGGAGGGTGGGAAGGTGACGAAGGCCGTGAGCCTGGGATCCTTGTGTTCTCAGAGATCTTTTAATATCCTTTGGGCAGCAGCCAAAGTCCTTGTAGTGGAAAGTCCCAGAGTACTCCTCTGGCTGCCAATGTTGGGTTTATTCCGATTTTTTTGTCTTTTGAAGCTTAGAATTGAAGATTGTCAAAATTAGACAGGATATTGGAGGTCACTGAGTCCAGCCCCCTCATTTTATAGCTGAAGGACACGGAGGCCCATGGAGTTTAAGCTGCTTGTCCAAGGCCAGGCAGCTCCTGAGTCACAAGGCCTGGGTTAGAGCCCGACTGTCTCAATCTAATGCCCTTTCCACTAAACCAGGATATAGGTGGGGACTGTATTCATGCTTAACATTGGCAGCGCATGGTAAACAAAGGAGGAATGATGCCTTGAATCAGCTGACTGCAATGCAGTCTCATTTGTGGTGCAATGGATAGAATACTGGTCCTGGAGTCCACAAAGACCTAGGTTCAAATCCTCTGACGTTTACTTGCTATGTGACTCCGGGCAAGTCTCAACACCAATTTTGCTTACTTGTAAAACGGAGTTAATAGTAATTGTCATATATAACTCTCAGGGCTTTTGTGAGTCTCAAATGATATAATATACCTAAAAGGTTTTGCAAATTTTTAAGTACTGTATATGTTGTTGTTTAGTCTGACTCTTTGTGATCCAGTTTGGGGTTTTCTTGGCAAAGATACTGGAGTGGTTTGCTGTTTCTTTCTCCAGCTCATTTTACAGATGAGGAAACTGAGGCCAACAGGGTTAAGTGACTTGCCTAGGGTCACATAGCTTGTAAGTGTCTGAGGTCAGATTTGAACTCAGGAAGATGAGTGTTCCTGACTCCTGGCCTGGCACTTTATCTACTGTGCCACTTAGCTACTATACGCATAAACATGTATACCTAATATAACAACAATAATAATATCTAATATTTATGTAATGCTATAAGATTTTCAAAACACTTTTTATATTTTAACTCATTTGATCTTCACAATTCTGTTATAGATGAGCAAATTGAAGCACAGGATGGTTAAGTGACTCTCCCAGGGTCACACTAAGCTAGTAAGTATCTGAGGCTGAATTTGAACTCAGTAAGATGAACCTTCCTGATTCGAAGAGCAATGTTCTATCTGGGCCATCTAGCTGTCCTGCACACATACTCACATATGTAATATATGTAACACATATTTATGCAATATATATGTCTGTGCTACATATTTATATATGTAATATATTGTACAAATACATGCATATATTTTGCTTATGTATGC